AAAGAAAGGTTTATTTAGCTCACAGTTTGTATAGGTTTTAATCTCTACAGTCATCACCTGGCTGTAGAGCAAGGTGGCTTCCCAGAGAACAGTTCATGGCACCCACAAGGTAGTAAAAGCAATAAAGGAAGGAAAACAAGACTCTTTCTTTCTTTTATACTTTATGCGGGATACCCACCCTAGGGTATCTTAGTGAGAAGTATGCCAAACCAATCAGTGGTGTGATTTACTAATCACACACCCTTAATCCCAGAATCATACATTCTAGATTCAACCACTTCTGCAAAAGCCCTATGACCACATGGAGCTTTGGAAGACATCTAGACACAAACCATAACATATTCCAGAAGGGAAAACTATGAGGATAAAAGGGAATGGAACCAAAGCAAGTCTGAAACATAGCAGGGCAAACCTTAAGTCTTTCAGCTCTGTGTCCAGCACCCATGGCAGGTGGTAGCCAGATGTGAGATCCAAAGGCTTGGAGAGCTCCACCCCATGACACTGCTACTTATAGCTCTCATCATGTCTCTCTTGGGGTGATTGTTTCATTACCCATAGCCCTCCTTGGTTGTTCCACATCCCTGGATTTCCTATTTCCTAGGGTTTCCAGTATACTTTTGTTTTCATTCTTATGGTTTCGTACACTCTCAGGGGCATAATGCCTTGTCTCTTGAGCCTATCTCTAAAGTCTAGATGGACACCCTTCTGACTCCACAACTCTTGCATTCTGCATGCCTTTAAAGCCAGCACCACACGGACAATGCTAAGGTATACTACTACCAGCTTTAACATTAGTCAGGCCCCCTCGTATCATGGTTGTGGTGGGCTCTACATGCCTGGATTGTTGAACATTATGAAATGCTCAGGGAACCAGAGAACCAATTCCTGAGGCTACCTAGGATAAATTCACTGATAAGTACAGAAATCCCATGATCCATTTACCCTGCAAAAGCCCCACCTGTTAGTACAAGAGAATTTGGGGGGCATTTTAAATGGCAGATGGAATTATTTTTTTGAAGTTCCAAGACATGTTTTTATTTGTGAAACTTTAAAAAATAAGCCAGACTTAAAGACAATTTTGTGACTGCTCCTTTGGTAAAACTTAGGTTTGCTAAGTGGTGCTGAAATGTTAACAATGGCAGGTTCCATCTGTCTCGTTCAGCCATTCAAAGTCACCAGTTGGATTACAGGCTCATTCCTGTAATCCCAGTGCTGGGGAGGCTGAGACAAGAGGATCACTATAAGTCCAAGCTGTGTATTGAGACCCTGTACCAAATAAATAAATAAATAAATAAATAAATAAATTTAAACAAAGTCACCAGACAGTGAAATATTGGTCTACAGAGTCAGAGCACTGGGGGAAATCATCAAGGTGGACACTGCAGTTGTTTCAGTGGAAATGGAAGTCATATGAACAGTTGGGTAAACAGATATAAAATGCTTCACGAGGAAGGAAAGACTCTCTGAGGCTTTTGGGATTTCTAAATTCAAATGTTCAAATTCAATAGCAAATATACTGTGGGTATTTGGTGGCCACAGTGTTCTAAAAAGTAGGTAATAGTTGATCCTGAGAGTTATTCTACAGGAATCACTGATGTGTGTCTTTATATGGGGAGCTGTCCAGGTGAGTGAGGATTTACTATTTCCTGAACTCTGAGCACATAATGCATGCAGTGCACATTCTTTATCTGGCAGGCTTGCCACACACTTCCTAGAAAGAGAATGTGCTTTTCTGCTTTCCCTGGAACAGGCACCATGAAACACTGTAGTGTGTACTTATTGTAGACATGTGATCATGTATAAATAAGTTCAAGTTCTGAGTTTATTTAAAAACCCAACTCCCTGGCACTCGGGCATATGTCCATGTGTTCATGTGTTTTATGGATTTTGTTTTTGTCTTTTTATTTGAGATAGGTCTCATTATGAAATTCAGGCTGGCCTTGAACTCACTTTGTAGCCAAGATTGGCCATGAACTCCCAAGTGCTAGAATTACAGGTGTGTGCCACCATGCCTGGCTTGGGTTTAGGGGATTTAATTACAATGTTTTTCCTCTGCATGTCATCCTTCAAATTTAAATGCATCTTGATTTATCATTGGAAGTCCAGTTTTGTATCATTATCAGGTACAATAAAAAATATCTGGGGAATGCAGCTGCCACATAGCCTCCAACATTCTAATTAGTTTTTAAACAATATAAACACACATCATAGGTTTTTTTTTAAATCACTCTTTGTATTTATTGATACAAATTACTCAAAAAAGGGAGAAATCTTGGAATCATGAAGAGTCCTAGGCAGAGAAAGTGATCACTTCCAATTTGGTTCATGAGGAGTTCTACCTAGACTTTCTTCTCCTTTATTTAGTGTAAATGTCCTTTCTGCTTTCCTAGGGAAGTAATAACATAATACATTAGGCCAGAGTCCATAAACAAAAGTCTAATGTGAGAGTGGTCCAGGGAGTTTCTGTTTTTAGGTAAGTGTAAGTGCAGCCCCAGTGCACTAAGGTGTTCAGATCTCTTCTTTCCAACAAAGTGTTGCAGCACACTGGTTGCCTTTTGACTCTGTAGGACCTGGTAACCTTCTTTAGCAGCAGAATACACATCTGAAAATTTATTCCATTCTTTTGAGCAGGATTCAGTTCAAATCTGGAATTAATATAGGTACACCACTAAAAAGGAAAGATTAGATTTCACAAAGTGTATTTTATCAGAAGTATAAATCATCTTATCACCATCTGGGAAAGTTAGAACAAAAAAAGCACAAATAGCATCAATTTGAGCACTGTGCTTGTGATCTGATTGAGCCTTATTCCATTGGACAGGGACAAAGGTCTCAATGAAAATGAGAGTAGGCAAGTTCAGCTTGGACAGAACCTGAAATCCAGGACTGACCCTCCACTAAATATGCAGAGTGATGACGGTATGGATGCCCTCAATTTTGTTATTTGGAGGAACTGAACTAAATGAGCTGTGAAGTCCCTTTTTCAGACTATGGATGAATCACTTAATATTTACAGGCATCAATTTATTATAGATTTAAGAATAGCAATGTAAAAATTAAAAAGTAAAAACTTCAAGATTTTGGGAAGTACAAAGCAATATTCATATATAGGGTACTAATGTAGGAGAACGAGACTTCCAAACCCAGATGGAGTTTGTGTTCTTTAAAACCAAAAAATGAATTTTAGGAACAACAGAGGTTAAGAGTAGAATACATTTATTGAGAGGAAGAAAGTTTCTGTGTGAGAGAGGGATAGAAGGGGGACCCAAGCTGTTTCGAGGGTTTTTTATAGAGCAAAACCTTGAGGTGAGGAAGGTCTAAGGTGAGAAACATGGGAACTCACACATGAGGTGGGACAAAACTATGGTCAACCAATAAGGCTGCAAGCACAATTGCTCAGGTAAAATTGATCAATTCAAGATGTAAGTGAGTTACATAGCAAGTGGGCATGAATATAGAAGAGGAGTTTATCCATTAGCTGGTAGTGGTTGGATTAGTGATGTTTCTTGGCTTCTGCAAGGTGGTGATCAATCCCAGATACTTAGCTTTAGGGAGATGAGCATTTGTTTGATCTTGGGTCTTGTGGTCTGGCCCACAGTGGGAGTGTCCATATCTTTCACAGTTGCAAGGTATATTATTGTAGCTGAAGAAGGACAGAGTGTGATGACTTTCTAGTTCACGCTGTAAAGATGTGATGATTAAATTTATCTAGTATGAAACTTTCATTAGTGAGAAACAATGCAAATTGTTAAATTGGTAAATGTCTTCTCAGCAGGCAGAGTATTTTAAGAATATGAAATCTTTGAAGAACAAAGTAAAAAACTTACAATCTTAAACCTTGGAGCCAGATATGTTTTGGAATTCAGAAATTTTGGACATTTTAGAAAAGAGTTAGATCAAATATTACATAACTTTTTCAGTGAGATCTTGACCAGCAAGCACAAACTTCCACAGCAAAAAATGTGAATAGTTGCACCAGTGTGACTAAAAAAGATTAAAAAGACTCAAGATGGCTCAGAGTGGATTTTGTTACTAAATAAATTTGAAGTGAAATTGAAAAATAAAAAGCCTTTTGAATTTCTTCATGATGGCTGATATTAGTAAATATTTATTGAGCAATTACTATAGGCCATCTTTAAGGCTGTGCCTTTTTCAATAATCTTTGTAAACAACCTGGAAAGAAAGCAGAGGTTGTCCCTCATTCACAAACAGGAAGCTAAGGCTCAAGAATGTCTGTGTTGTTGTCAGAGGCCAAACGGGTAAGACGTTTTGGTGATTATCTTCCCCTGTTGCATTAGTGGTTTAGAAAAACAGTTTTGAGAAGTGCAGTAATGTCTTTCTTTTTACTTTCCACAGTCTCTCTAGAGAAGGCCATCTAATGATCTCTTCCTAGCTAGCGACACCCAGATGACACTCTGTGCTGAATGTCAGATAGATATTGAACTCACTGTTGAAAATCTACGTCATTGTCTCACTAATTGTCTTTCCCCTTAACCATGCTCTTCTTCCCAGCAATCCCTGTTTCATTCCCTCAGCTACTGCCCCCCCTTTCAGAATGCTCCCTTCTTTCTTCCCTTCCCAAACAAATGAATGACCAAGGCCTGTGAGTGCTGGGCCAAATGCCAGCACAGAGGAAACTGGATTTTTCTTAAGGTTTAGTAATTCAATTTTTCCAATAAAAAATTCAGGTCCCCTCACTGTAAAGTCAAAGTTCTGATAAAAACCAGAATTCTACGTACTTGTTCAATAATAAATATCAGGTATTGAATCCTCAAGACTTTCTTTTTATTATAGGTTGCTTATATGCTGTTAAGTACATTTTCTTCAATCATTAGTTTCTTAGCTACATTTTGAGCATTTGGGAGCATGCACTTGGTTCTGAGCAGCAAAGTTGACCAGCAGCCTTCAGAGGAAAATGCCTACAGGCATTCAACCATTGCCGGGAATTTTTGTGGATGCAAACTTGTAAAGTAACATTCTTTTCTTTTTTCTATTGTTAGGTAAAAAGCCAAGCCTGAAAGTCCATATCAATACCACCAGTGACTCCATCCTCCTGAGGTTCCTGCGTCCAAGTCCAAATGTAAAGCTTGAAGGTTTCCTCCTGGGCTATGGCAGCAATGTGTCTCCAAACCAATACTTCCCTCTTCCCACAGAAGGAAAATACACGGAAGCTGTAGTGGGTAAGTTGATTAGGGACCAGGCTCTGAAAACGTGGGTAGCAGGCAAGGGGAGTAATGTGTACAGACCTTGATGACTGCAGCTATTCATTCTATAGACTTGGTTGGACAAAATTTTAGAATTACAGATTCTTCATAACATAATTTTTAAATTAAATTTTTTATTGAACACATTAATACTTATCTTTAAGAAATCCTTATCTTGTAGGTCATTACACCTATGGTTCCTGCCTACATAACCTACCTCATAACAAAAAGCATTAATAGAAATGGTTGGCTCAAACTTCTCTAACCCAGTTTTGCTAATATGGACTGATTTTGCTTCTTGATATCTTTATCTTCTTCGAGTGGAAATGCCACAGCTTTTTGTATGTCTCTTTATGAAGTGCTACCTTTTAAATAAAAAGAAAATGTATTCTTAAAATTTTATGATATTCCAGACAAGAAATGTCATGATCACATTCTCATCCCTTGGACAAAATCCCTGAAACACAATTGAAAGGAAAAGAGGTCTATCTTGGCTCACAGGTTTCACACTCATAGCTGACAGGGCCCAAGGCAGGCAGGGCCTGGGGGAGGGTCTGGTGGAGAGAAGCTGCTTCAGTTGTGTTGGCCAGGAAGTACAGTGGAATGAGAAGGCAGAGAGAGAGTGCCAGCCTTCCAGGTCCCACCCCATGTGCTACCTCTTCTGATCACACTCTAGCTCCTAGCTGCACATTCAACTCTGGTTTCATCAGTGGATTAGTCCATGAGGGGTCCAGTGCTCCCATGAGCCCAGCACCTTCCCAAACCCTCTGAACCAGTGAACATTTTGGAGACATTCTAGATCTAAACCATAATAGGAAGAGAAAAGCTTAGTGCTAAACAACTGTGAGATTAGGCATTTTGGAAAAATACAACACTGTATTTGACTGTGTGAGCCATGCAAAAATGGAATGTTCACAAATATTCTCTACTATATTTACTTGTTACTGTCCACAGTGACCAGAAACTGCATGCTTACCCAAAAAATAGAAACAGACCAATTACCTCCTTACCATGAACTCTCCAAGTGCTACTTTATTTATGACAGATATAGTTTCATTATATAGATTGAGAGTTGGTCAACAACAAACATCTTTTCTATATCAGATGAAAGATATTCTATTTTATTTATTTATTTATTTATTTATTTGGGGAAGGATCTACCGGGTGTTCAGGGTCTCACTAGTAGATCGGACTCCTAGTGAACTGCCTGTTTACAGCCTCCAAAGAGGCATGTGCCACCACACCCTGTTTCAATTGCTTTCTCAGTGCACCCCAGGTGCAGGGCTGGCACAGCAGGCCCAGGGATAAAATATCCTGCCCTTGCACCTACTTATAGGCACTTTATTCTGCTGAACTATTTGGCCAGCCCTGCATTTTAAAGTGAAAGAAGTTAAAGTATTTATGAAAAATATGTTAAGAAAACTAAGGAAAAATTTTAGCACAAGTAGTGCACACTTTTACTGTTTCAATTATGAAGATTGATTAAACAGACTAAGGAAACTTTATGTATTATTATCTTTATCCTTTAAATTTTTTATTGAGGAGAATTTCAGATGAGGGAGAATATTGTCTGAAGCCTTAGTTTTTATCATGTAGCTTGAATGTGTATATTTGTCTTGATAATTTTTCTCTGTGATCATATATACCTATATATGTATATTTTCATAAAATTTACAGCATAATCAGACAGCATAATTTTCTCTAAAAATGTTTCACTATGAATGTCTAACAGATGTGCATTTTCAGAAATTATCCCATACTTATTATCTGACCACAGTGCAATGAAACTGGAAATAAATGACAAAAGAAACCACAAAAACCCCATGAACACATGGAAATTAAATAACACCCTTCTCAGCGAACAGTGGGTTATTAATGAAATTAAACAATAATTTAAACAATATCTACAATTCAATGAAAATTCAAGCGCAACTTATCAGAATCTGTGAGATGCAATGAAAGTAGTTCTTAGAAGGAAATTTATAGCTTTAAACTCACACATTAGAAAAACATAAAGAGAATAAATAAATACACGGATGCTGAACCTCAAACGTCTAGAAAAGGAAGAGCATACCAAGCCCAAAGCCCACAGAAGGGAGCAAATTATAAAGATTAGAACAGAAATTAATGCAATTAAAATAAAGAAAACAGTACAAAAAATAATGAATCAAAAAGCTGGTTCTTTGAAAGATTAAATAAAATTGATAAGCCCCTAGTTAACCTCATCAAAAAGAGGAAAGAAAAAAACTCAAATTCAAGAAATAAGGAATGAAAATGGTGAAATTACTACAGAGCCTGTGAAAATTCAGAAGATTATCAGTGGCTACTTTGAAATTCTTTACTCCCTCAGAACAGAAGACTCAGAAGAAATGGACAGATTCCTAGAAAGGTACAAATTACCAAAACTGGATCCAGAAAATATAAGAACTCTCAATAACCCAATATCAACCAACAAAATTGAATATGTGATAAAAAACTTAGCAACAAAGAAAAACCCAGGTCCTTATGGATTCACAGCTGAATTCTACAAGAAATTTATAGAAGATATAATCCCTATAGTCCTGAAACTCTTCAACGAAATTGAAAAGAAAACAATCCTCCTAAAATCATTCCTGGAGGCAAGTATCACACCAATGCCAAAACCAGAGAAAGATTCAGCTAATAAAGAAAACTACAAGCCAATCTGTCTCATGAACATAGATGCCAAAATCCTCAATAAAATCCTAGCAAGTAGAATAGAGCAAATCATCAAGAAGATCATACACCATGACCAGGTAGGATTCATCCCAGGAATGCAAGGATAGTCTGACATATGCAAATCTATAAATGTAATACACTGTATCGATAGAGCCAAATCCAAAAACCACATATCAGATAATTGAAATAGATGACCTCTATTTCAATCTGATAAAAGCCATCTATGACAATCCAGCTGCTAACATAATTCTAAATGGGGAAAAACTGAAATCTTTTACTCTCAGATCAGGTACAAGACAAAGATGTCCTCTATCACTTCTATTCAATATAGTTCTGGAATCATTAGCTAGAGGCTTTAGACAAGAGAAAGAAATAAAAGGAATAAGAATAGGTAAAGAAGAAGGTAAATTATCATTATTTGCAGATGACATGATACTTTACTTGGAAGACCCAAAAAACTCCACCAAGAAACTACTAGAATTAATACACAAATTCAGTAGCATAGCAGGATACAAAGTCAATACCCAAAATCAATAGCATTCCTATACACAGATAACAAACATAGTAAGAGAGAAATTAGAGAAACAATATCTTTTGTAATAGCACTTTCCATTTCATAGAAAATGAAATACCTTGGAATTAATCTAACTAAAGAAGTCAAAGATTTATTTAATTGAAATTACAATACTCTGAAAAAAAAGATCATAGAAGATTTCAGAAAATGGAAAGATATTCCCTGCTCCTGGATAGGAAGAATCAACATTGTGAAGATGGCCATACTCCCAAAATTGTTATACAGATTTAATGCAATCCCTATCGAAATATCACCAACATACCTCAAAGACCTAGAGAAATCATTCCTAAAATTTGGGACCAGAAAAAACCTAGAATAGCAAAGGCAATTCTAGGCAACAAAGGGAAGAAAGTAGGCATTACAATCGCTGACTTAAAATTATACTACAAATCTATTGTGATAAGATCAGCATGGTATTGGCAAAAATTAGACCTGAGGATCAATGGAATAGATAAGAAGATGCAGATATGACTACAAACACACTCAGCCATTTTATCTTTGACAAAGGGTCCAAACATGTTCACTGCATAAAGCATAGCCCCTTCAACAAATGGTACTGAAAAATCTGGCTCTCTACCTGCTGAAAACTAAGACTTGACTCTGGTCTATCACCATGCACTAAACTGAAGTCAAAATGTATTAAAGATCTAAACATTAAAACAGAAACACTAAATCTCCTGGAAGAGAAAGTAGGTGGAAATCTTGAAGACATAGGGGTAGGCAAACATTTCTTGAACAAAAATCAAACTGCATCAGAAATACTTGAAAGAACTAACAACTGTGACCTCCACTTTTTGAGAAGTTTCTGCACATCCAAAGAAATTCCCAACAGAGTGCAAAGATAAAGCACAAATTTGGAAAAAAAAAACAAACCACGCTTAACTAATAAGCACCCAGACAAGGGTCTTCTATATAGAATTTATAAAGAAATAAGAAACAATATGGCCCCCAGATTTAAAGACCCAATCCAAAAATGGGCATCCGAGATGAACCCACACTTCTCAGAGGAAGAAATACAAGAGGCAAATAAGTACATGAAAAAATACTCCACATCAGTAGCCATTCATGAAATGTAAATTAAAACAACACTGAAATACCACCTCACCCCAGAAAGAATGGTTATCATGAAGAAATCAACCAACAACAAATGTTGGAGAGGCTGTGGGAAAAAGGAACCCTTCTCTATTGCTGGTGGGAATGTAGACTCATACAACCACTATGGAGACTCATCAAAAAACTAGGACTGGAAATCCCATTCAATCCAGCTATCCCACTTCTGGAAATTTTCTTAAAAGAACTGAAAACATCATATCATAGTGATACCTGTGAACCTATGTTTATAGCAGCACAATTTGTGATAGCCAAATCTTGGAAACAACCATAATGCCCAACACCTGAGGAATGGATGAAAAATATACGGTGTTTTTATGCAATGGAGTATTACTCGGGTATAAAGAACAGCAAACTCAAAGCCTTCATAGGTAAGTGGATGCAACTTGAAGATGTACTCATCAATGAAATAAACCAGATCCACATGTGTAAATATCATATTGTCTCCCTAGTGTAAGAACTCAAAAGAAGAAATAAAAATTGAAAGGTATAACACAGTTAAATGGAAAGTGAGAACTTAAGGATTAACCAACAAAGAAAGAGAAGGGAAAAAAGTTCAGAAATAAGGCAGGAGCAGAACCATGTTTATATAAAC